TGCCATTTTACTTGTTTTACCTAAAAACACCATTACCAGTCAGCATGACCAGTATAAAAATGCCCCATTTATTTCAAAATACACTATCAGTCATACATTGCAGATTGTTTTTATTTTACAGCACAGTTGATGGAATAATGCAAACTTTATTAAACAAATAAAAATTATTTAAGTTATAGTTGTAACCATGTATTTTCTATAGATATGCCACAAATATTCAGCTACTATTCGATATCCGGCCTATTCTGCTACTTTTTTTAATATTCGGTATTCAGCTGAATACTGAATACCAAATCATGAAAAAAAATGCACATATTACTTAAAAATGTATTTATTTTAATCACAAATTATTACATTTAATACTTAAAATCTATCAGTGGTAAGTTGTGATGAATGAAAACAATTTTTTCATTATTTGTATTATTTGTTGATAGCAAACTATTGTGCTTTTCCTCATAAACTATACTGCTTCTGAAAATAGCCTCTCCCTATATACACTACTGCTGAGAGACAATAGATAAATCTTAGCAAATTCTGTCAGGCTTGGATACTGTTTTGCATTTGCTGACCATCACTTGTAAAGGTCTGCCGTCCGATTTAGGCAAACAGTTTTCATATAAAGTGATACAAACAGTGATATTTTTTAGTAATAAGGATAGTAACACAATTTGATGTAACAATGAACAAATAATGCGTGTCGTGACACAATCTACTCGCAAATAAAACAAATGCGGCCATAATGTCACTACCACACCCACCACAATGAGACAGGTCGTAACCTGTCGCCTGCAGAATGTACACATATTTTGCCGAACATTCTATGCTTTGGCCAAGAGCATAGCCAAATATTCGGAATTTGACAAAATCACTATTCGTGGCATCACTAATTTTCTATTGAGAACTAAACATCACACAAAAATAAAGATTGCTTTTTTTGGTTACACACTATCCATACATGGGTTTTTTGCATTTTGCACAACTTTCAGATTTCATTTTTTTGGTGCACTTATCTTTAACCTTTAACACATTTTAAAACTTGGCACTTGTGCCATTCAACTCCAACAGCTGATTTCAACGTCCTTGATGCTGAACCTGAAGGTACTTTCATCATTAATGTGTCAATTCAGATGTTTTTCTGCCAGGTCTAAAATGAAGGGACCACCAACTAGATAAAACCACTGAACATTGGTAGCTAATTGTAGATTTGCACCTCATCCATGGGCTGGCCACATCTAACATTTAAATAAGGACCAGTTTCCCAGAGAATATCCTTCTGGGAGACATTGCTTTGACAGATTGCCCATGTTGCTTTATCTCATCAATCATGACTGAATTTTCAATTTTACAACTTTTCACAGTCCCATCTTTCAATTAGTTTACTTCTAAATTTGAAAGTTGCTAAATTTCTCAGATTCTTCCTTTGGCACACTGATTTTCCAAAGTACCAGGAGCTGGCAAATTGACGTTGTTGTCATTGTCTGAGATTGTATGAGAGAAATTCACTAATTAGTCACTTTTATGCTGAAAATTTTCTACTTTACCATCATATTCCCTTTCAATATCTTGTGATAACTGTAAGTAGTGATTGTGGGAGTCATTGTTTTCTATTCATCATTGCCATTAACTTAACTTTTTTGAAAACTCAACTACCTATCCATACCAACATATATGCTAACACTTGTTTAGCCCTCTTCATAGCCATAAATAATTTACATGTATCTGTATTCTGAATACTGGTCATTATGATCGTAATTAGCACTTTTAGGTAAACATGTGCAATACTAATTAATTTGTTAAAAATTTTGTCAAAATGTTTTAGACATTTGTTCTAGGCCAAAAATACTTCTTTACACATAATTGTGTCAAAAAAGATACAATTATATGTGAAGAAGCATTAAAATTTGAGGTTATAAAATCTTATTCCAGTCAAATTCACCAGTATAACACTTCTAGGGTTAAAGGTCATTTCTTTGTATTATTTTTTATTATTTACTTATTTTAAACATAATATATAAAAATGTAGATAATATTATAGTTTCAATACAGAGTCAAATAATGCTGGTCAACNAAAAAAAAAAAAAAAATTAGTTAAATCAATTGCTGCCACTACACTTTCACAGATTCTCTCTCTTTTATTACAATAAATTTTGTTCTTTACAATGGTAATCTTTCTACTGTAACTGCTATTACAAAAAAGACTAACACTTATAGGCCAGTAGCAATATCATCTACTGTACTTAGTCTTTGAAATATGTAATTTTTACCAGATAAGTAATATTCAAAAACTACATCTAAATTAAGCTCAATTCAACATTTTAGTTCTTGGCATTATTCTACTACTACTAATTTAGTGGTCATTCTAGACTGCTTGGGGAAAAAACAACCTACATTTATAATTTATCTGGATATTAAACAAACATTTGAATCTGTTATCCCCAGTACCTTATTTGATTTGTTGTAACTGGCCAAAGAATCTCTTTTTTATTGAGAAAATAAAGTAAATATTAACTGTCTTATGTATTTTTCATATATACATATGCTGTCAATCAAGAATCTAACAATGATCTGTCTTTAGTACTTTGTTTTTTGTTGCATATGTAGATAAACTTCAGTTTGATTCAACAATAGTTGCATATGCTGAAGACATAAAATTCATCAATATTGACTGTAATTTATTACAATATGATTTGTAAATTTAGTTACACTAGCTTTAAATATAATAACTATATCAACACTTAAAAAAAATAGCGTTTTTTTCATTATCCTTGAATCCTTCCAAACACACTATTTTGAATCTGTAAATGATTTCAAAATCATCTGATTCTAAACTATTGCTTAAGGTTTACCATTTTAAAAAATTATAAAAAGGTTTATCAATCAGACATGGAATATTGAATATTGTGCCAATTTTGTAAATTAATTTAATATACATCTGTTTTCTGTTCATTATTCTTCACAAATTTTCTGTCATTCACAGACTATTGTCTTCCAGTGTGGTCATCTGCCATCCAATCTCTGCTTAATCAAGTGGTGAGGGAACATGATAAGCTTTATTTGTTGTTAAATATATAGAACATCAAGATTTATTGTTAAACAGATTTGCAAATGCTAGTAAAGCTGCTCATGAAAGGCTGTATTTTATGACATTTCAAACATATTATTTACTTCAATAGATTACTATTTTATAAATTTTTAATTGTTTTTTTTACCACCAAATGGAATGGGTTTTCAAATACAGTGGAACCCCGGTTAACGAACGTAATCTGTTCCACGAGTCCATTCATTAACCGAAGCAATTTTTCCCATAGAAATTAATGCAAATACAATTAATCCGTTCTAGCCATCAGTATTTTTGTAATTTTATTTGTAAAATGGGTTTTCTTTGATTCTTTTCAAAAAACCGGTTCGAACTTTTGCATCAACCCAATATAATTTAATATCCACATGTTAAAAGCGAAAACACTATTGTTAAGTCGGACCAAAGTTCAGGGAGAAGTAAGAAAAAAAAAAGGTACTGTAGTTGTCAAAACAAACGCAACGCGAAAACGAATGACATAACGGATCAGGTAGAATGTCTGCGGGGAAGATGAAACTCTGACAGAAGCAGTCATAAACAGTTGATCTAGGTTAGATTTGCGGAAAAGGGGAACGATTTGACAGGTATAAAAACATCACGTACAATCATTAAAGTTCTAAAATGACAGATAGCAGAAACAATAGGCTAAATTATGAGTGAAAGGCTTATATGTTTATCAACAATCTCTGATCAGAGTCAACGAACAGGTGTCAAATAAATGCCTCGGAACAAACCTTTCTCGTGACCTGATCTGGTTTCGGTTTTCACCTGGAGACAAAGAAGAAAACAATCGGGAAGAGAGGAATGGGATGCAAGACTAATCATAAGGTGAGATTCAAGGAAGAAATACTATAAAAACCCTGAATCTCAAGGTAAAAACGCAGTTTTCCTAAAAATTCTATGGCGATTAATCTGTGTCGTCTTCATCTGGATTAAGCCTGAAGTCATGCCCGCTAAAATTTGTGTTGTGTCTCACGGACCACTCCAGTCGTCGCAGCTCTGTCACCTACCATCGCTTCTGTGACCAAGCGAACCCTTCTCATTTGCTCTGGGGCTATGACTGATAAGCTTGCACTATCGTAGGATCAGCGATACGCCACGTCTCAGTGCCGGGAGAAAATACTGTAGATAAGCCATTTCCAACCACCTCAAATACGTAAGCATCTTCCTGTTCTAATAAATGATTTTCACTGTAAAATACTTGTCATCTTTGTCTCCTCCGCCACCACCAATGTACGAATGGAGCCTAGACCATCACTGACACACGATTAACTGTCCCCCCTAAAAGTTGGATTAGTAAAAGATTAACTTAACCCCCTAAAAGTCGGCAAGCTTACAAATTTGACACAAAAAGCCATTAAGTTCGTTATCCGAGACAAAATTTTTGCAAAATAAAACTTTGTTAACCGATTTGGTCATTAACCAGGATGTTCGTTAACCAAGGTTCCACTGTACCAATTCATCATACCCATAATGTATGATATTTACACATCCAGATGCTCGCTTTGTATATTTTAATGCTCCTTCTTTATATAAGCCATGCTATCAAAAAATTGATCCAAGAATTTGTTACTGTACAATTTATCTCAATTTAAAAATATGTGTAAAAAAAATCTGTATATTTATTAAGCTTGTATTTTTTGTACTTGTGTTGTTTTGGGCCTATTGATGTTGGGGAAGTATTATTTTATCCTTTGTGGACTGTGCTTGTAAGTTCTCATAAAATAAATAACTTAATAATATAAGAACATTTCTTAACAGACAAGTTTTTCATAAAAAGTTGAATGTTAATCTGCAAACTTATGTTCATCTTTATAAATTAAAATTCTGTTAATAAAACAGTTACTAATATATAAATAGTAATTTATAAGCTACATTTCATTTATATATTTCTAATTAATAACAAAATTAACAAGATATATACCTTCTTGATTTCTTTGTACTTGTGACAGAGGACTTTCATACTGTGTTGTTTTGTTCACATGACTAAAAAGAAAAGCAATAAAAATTTTATATATATATATATTATTGATATAATCTTTTATAATAATTACAAACATAATATTTTTCATTAATTATGGAAATCTGTTGGTAGAATAATGATGAGACTCTGATCTTTTGTTCTACAGTAAAACCTGTCTATGGCGACCACCCACGGTTCCTTCAAAAAGTGGTCTTTTAGACAGGTGGTCGTCCAATACAGTTAGAGTTGTAATACCGTATTTCCGTACGTATTTTGCGCACTTTTTAGCCATTTCTACTAAGCAAAACTCGAGGTGAGCAAAAATAAGTGAATTTTTTCAGCGATAGGACTATATTAGTATTGTATTTTATTCTTATTGGATAACTCGATTTACGGGAGTCGTCGTGATTTTGTAAGACAGATTTAATACCAATATTTTAAAGATTAATACAATAGTCGCATATTCTCGATTATAACGCACACTTTCTGTTTTTCCGACTTAATTAATTCGACTTGATTCTTTTTGTTCGCTCCTCAGTTACGTTTATTACGTCATCGATATACAAGTGCGTGGTATCTCTACATCACTTTGGTTTTGATTTTCGCTAGTTTAACTTTAAAAATATTTTTTAATATTTAATATTTTCTTAAGTACAACAAGAAAATTATTAATTAATAATAAAATGATTTTATTATTTTTTCTCATAATACGATTTCATTACATTCCGCGATTGTCATAGCGGAATCGAAAAAGGAAGGCTGCCTGTAAAACTGATTTTTGCATTAATTAATGCGTTTATTGTTTTTTGAATATTTTGCATGCGAAAATTATTTGGATATTATTTTTCTAAAAATATCGTTAAAATAAAGTAGGTTGATACAGAAACTATTTATCGCACGTGTACTGTACATGAGCTTCAAAATAAATAAATAGATAAGTAAATAAAAATAAATTTTATCAAACGATGAGATCAGCCGATTAATTGTATCCTGAACAATATTTTATACCCCTAAGGAANATTGCAAGAACTGATCAAAATTAATGCATCCCATTTTTTATTCATCAGAAAAAAGAAAGACACAACAATGAACTTTATCTACTCAAATTTTTGTAATTTTAACTGTCATATTCTTTATTTTATTATTAAATAAAATATTAATGCATTTAAATACAACGAATGTAACTAATTGGTAATATTCATTAACTAAAAATTGGTAATATTCATTAACGTGCATTTTATTTTAATGTTTTTTTTCCATTTATATAGAAGAGGATTAAAACTAAAAATAATTGCATATTAATTAAAATATTTTAAAATATAAATATTACAAATATCATAATAAGTATAAACAATGAACTTACTCAATATAATATGTTCCATAATGAGGATCCTCAATCTTCTCCCAACCATATGGAAGTTCGCTCATGCTAACATCTAAAATTTTATAAATATAATATTTTATTGTAATTTAATTAAATTAATTAATTTATGATTATTTTCACTAATTTTCTATAAACTGTAATAGCATTATTACTAACTGAACATTGAAATCCCTCAAACAAATATTTTAATAATTTTGGATATCCTTCAAAAACAACAATATTAGCATTAAAAATATTATAACTTTAAACTAATTATTATTGGATTCCTCAGTTTTGACTGAGGTATCCAATAATAAAGTTTATTAATTTATTGAGTTTTCAATTAGAACCAATTTATCCAAAAGAATGCTTACTTTGTCATACATCTTTATTTCATAAATTGCCATTCAATAGCCATAGAATGCATTTTGGCATCATTTATCCTCTCCTCTAATAATAAAATTTCTCAATTGGAATAAATGTAAAAATGAAAAGTTCCAGCCTGTTCCAGCAAAAAATAATTTTTTTTTTAATTTTCTAACATTTTCAGCTATCTATACAGCCATCATCAGGAATGAACATATAGTTATTTATATAACATTCTGGATAACTAGAAAAAAAAGCCATATACAAAAATACTGTTAAGAACACATGTATTAACCATAAAGATGCAGCAAGCTTATCAGCAGCATGGAAATTTCTTATATACTGCAATGGGGACAAAACTACACAATAATTTAGTGTTATATTATATAATCAATGAATCTAGTGTTTATTATTATTGTTGTTTATATTTTATGGTATATTATTATGTATTATACAAAAAGCTTATTTTTGTATACTTTATTATTATTATTTATGTTATTGCATGCTATTAAAAGTTTTTAATTCAAAAATTAGACAGGAGTTTTGATTTTGATTAACTCAAAATGCACATCAAGTAATTGAGTTAGTAAACCCTACCATTTTTTCATAGTCCTGTGCAAACTTGTCATAGAGTACTGTCTTTTATATAAAAAGAGTTCTTTCAATGTAATTTTAGTAAAAATAAAATTTTAAATCAACTGAGGAAAGAATAATCTTTATTTAAGTCATTAAATGCTTTTGAAAAGCTTAATTCTCAGAATCAAACCTAAATGATCACAAAAAGAACAAGTCACATGTACAAAACTGAACTTTAAAAAAAACATTTACTGACTCTTCATTAACACCAGAAATGCCATGAAATTATTGACAAGACTATGTCTTGTTTATAAAATTGTACTGCCAGCTTAGTGGTATGAAGGAGTACATATCAGGAATTGCAATTTGGCACAGAGTATTAGGTGCCCAAATCATGCACGAATAAAAAAACCAGACTTGTAGGTACTCAGGGGACTGAGAACCGAGTCAAAATAAAATTCAAAATGGCGACACTCACTACAAACAGGTAGTAATGGAAAATTTGTGCATGTGTTGCTAGTTGGAAATGCAAACGTTGCAAAATCAATTTTGACAAGCGCATGTGTTGGGAAGTTTGAAATGAGAAATTGAATTTTGACAAATGAATCTGAAAAAACCCATTTACCTGTCCCGTGTTATTCTCGACATATCTCTGGTTGTGATGTGCTGACCTTGACTGGTTGACCCAAGATATCTCGTTTCAGCACCAGAACCTTTTTTCAAAGTAAATGGCACTAGTCCTAGTCGTTATAATTTTATATTAAAACTAACTTTCGAAATATAATTTGTTTTTTTTCTATATTTATTAATATATATATTGTTTGTGCAAAATAAAAGAATAATTTCAGACAATATGAGATAGCCAGGATTATTTTTTTCAAAAACGGGAAATTTTCATTACACATCAACAAAAATTCAACCCAGGGTGACATGAAATGTTGAGAAATTTCAAAATTGGACAGGTTAATTTCAGCGAAAATGCATTGTGGACGACCTTGTGGTTGTGGCCGGTGAAGTTTGAAAGATCGTGCTCAAAACCAGTGATACCAAAGAAGATTGGAGAATGAGAATGAGACCCATCTTGAGCGTCAAAGTGATTCCGCTTAGTAGTGAGTCTCTAAGACATAGTCTTGTCCCAAATACAGCCTTGCCATTTTACTTGTTTTACCTAAAAACACCATTACCAGTCAGCATGACTAGTATAAAAATGCCCCATTTATTTCAAAATACACTATCAGTCATACATTGCAGATTGTTTTTATTTTACAGCACAGTTGATGGAATAATGCAAACTTTATTAAACAAATAAAAATTATTTAAGTTATAGTTGTAACCATGTATTTTCTATAGATATGCCACAAATATTCAGCTACTATTCGATATCCGGCCTATTCTGCTACTTTTTTTAATATTCGGTATTCAGCTGAATACTGAATACCAAATCATGAAAAAAAATGCACATATTACTTAAAAATGTATTTATTTTAATCACAAATTATTACATTTAATACTTAAAATCTATCAGTGGTAAGTTGTGATGAATGAAAACAATTTTTTCATTATTTGTATTATTTGTTGATAGCAAACTATTGTGCTTTTCCTCATAAACTATACTGCTTCTGAAAATAGCCTCTCCCTATATACACTACTGCTGAGAGACAATAGATAAATCTTAGCAAATTCTGTCAGGCTTGGATACTGTTTTGCATTTGCTGACCATCACTTGTAAAGGTCTGCCGTCCGATTTAGGCAAACAGTTTTCATATAAAGTGATACAAACAGTGATATTTTTTAGTAATAAGGATAGTAACACAATTTGATGTAACAATGAACAAATAATGCGTGTCGTGACACAATCTACTCGCAAATAAAACAAATGCGGCCATAATGTCACTACCACACCCACCACAATGAGACAGGTCGTAACCTGTCGCCTGCAGAATGTACACATATTTTGCCGAACATTCTATGCTTTGGCCAAGAGCATAGCCAAATATTCGGAATTTGACAAAATCACTATTCGTGGCATCACTAATTTTCTATTGAGAACTAAACATCACACAAAAATAAAGATTGCTTTTTTTGGTTACACACTATCCATACATGGGTTTTTTGCATTTTGCACAACTTTCAGATTTCATTTTTTTGGTGCACTTATCTTTAACCTTTAACACATTTTAAAACTTGGCACTTGTGCCATTCAACTCCAACAGCTGATTTCAACGTCCTTGATGCTGAACCTGAAGGTACTTTCATCATTAATGTGTCAATTCAGATGTTTTTCTGCCAGGTCTAAAATGAAGGGACCACCAACTAGATAAAACCACTGAACATTGGTAGCTAATTGTAGATTTGCACCTCATCCATGGGCTGGCCACATCTAACATTTAAATAAGGACCAGTTTCCCAGAGAATATCCTTCTGGGAGACATTGCTTTGACAGATTGCCCATGTTGCTTTATCTCATCAATCATGACTGAATTTTCAATTTTACAACTTTTCACAGTCCCATCTTTCAATTAGTTTACTTCTAAATTTGAAAGTTGCTAAATTTCTCAGATTCTTCCTTTGGCACACTGATTTTCCAAAGTACCAGGAGCTGGCAAATTGACGTTGTTGTCATTGTCTGAGGTTGTATGAGAGAAATTCACTAATTAGTCACTTTTATGCTGAAAATTTTCTACTTTACCATCATATTCCCTTTCAATATCTTGTGATAACTGTAAGTAGTGATTGTGGGAGTCATTGTTTTCTATTCATCATTGCCATTAACTTAACTTTTTTGAAAACTCAACTACCTATCCATACCAACATATATGCTAACACTTGTTTAGCCCTCTTCATAGCCATAAATAATTTACATGTATCTGTATTCTGAATACTGGTCATTATGATCGTAATTAGCACTTTTAGGTAAACATGTGCAATACTAATTAATTTGTTAAAAATTTTGTCAAAATGTTTTAGACATTTGTTCTAGGCCAAAAATACTTCTTTACACATAATTGTGTCAAAAAAGATACAATTATATGTGAAGAAGCATTAAAATTTGAGGTTATAAAATCTTATTCCAGTCAAATTCACCAGTATAACACTTCTAGGGTTAAAGGTCATTTCTTTGTATTATTTTTTATTATTTACTTATTTTAAACATAATATATAAAAATGTAGATAATATTATAGTTTCAATACAGAGTCAAATAATGCTGGTCAACAGCCAAATTGTATCTGAGAAAATATTAACAAGTTCTTACTGTTTTTGCTGAACACAAATTTGACAATTAACATTGTTTGTTAGTTTAAGTTTTAATCACTTTATAGTGAATGAGCATTTTTGGACTCAATATAAAAATTTCTAGATTATTTTTATCATAACATTTATTTTCTATTAAAGCTATTGTCATGAAATTTTTATTTTTTTAAACTAAAAACATTCAACTATCCAACAGTGTTTCTTTAATGATTTTCCAATAATTTAAAATTTTCTAAGATTTTTTTTAAAGTTATGAACTTTGACCATGTGTTTTGATCAATCAAAAAAATTATAACTTGTATTAAAAAAAAAAAAAGAGACTAATACAAAGAGAAAATTTCTTTGAAATTTATCAAAAAATATCTAGAAATCAGAAACTAAAAACTTTTTCTGTTATTTTTATTGGTTATTTACAAATAAATTTTATGTCCAACCAATTTGACAAAATTCTTGCATGAAGCAATTCTGACTATCAGAATATTAAAAAATTAGTGCATCAAAAACCTCTATAATAAATGTATGAAATGACTTAGAGATGCTCCAGAAGATGAGTACAAGCAACAAACCAAACAAAAGATACTACATCCAACATATATTAAACGTTCACTTAATTTATGAATGATGCCTTACATTTACATTTATCTTAGAAACAGTAAGTAATCATAAAATTTTACTGTCAGTTTTGTTTTCAGCATATCAAAATTAATAAAGAAAAGCAACTAATGAAGGATACAAAACATAAGTGCTTATTTATTTCCAAGTGTAATTGGTTATTTTTAAATTAATTTGAATTTACAATAAGTCATAACTTACCTATGACTTCATTTTCATTCAGTCCATGATTCTGTGTTAATAGCTGTGTGTCCTGCCATTGAGGTGTTGCTGTTTTATAACTGTAAAAAATAGTAAGGTAATTCTACAAAAACAATTTTTTTTAAATTCAAAAATATTTTTTCATTCTAGATATACAAAACAGAATAATAAATAGAAAATTAACATTATCAAAAACCAAAACATATTTCATATTCAACTGGATACTTATAATTACCAATCTTATATAGTAACTATAAATCTGAAATGCTTTAATAAATTAGCAATGTTAATTTCTTCAAAACAATAGATGTACAAATTTACATAAATATAAACAAGATTTTCAAAGACAATTTTCTTAAACACATTCCCATCTTCATAAGTTAATGGTAAACCTGATACTTTTAGTAGCTTATAGTGATAATAAGCTATGTGAAAATTTTTGGTTTCAATCCTTTCTTTTTACTTATTTATATTCATACATTTTGAGCCTGTTGAATTTGAGACTAATTTTGAGATTACAGTATAGTATTTTAGTTCTATTAATTGTAAATTTATTTTACAATGACTAAATACATAACAAAATTCTAATAAGAAATGCAAAAAATAAATACAGAGAGTGATCAGTTAACATAATCTGTACCAAGACTGTTTGCTATCAAAACTGCTCATTAACCGATTATCAATTTACCATACGTTTTTATGGAAATTTGATTAATTCATTCTAAAGACTCCAAAAAATAAAAAATATATACTTTCTTATTACATTTATTTATATGTAATAATAAAAATACATATATACAGTCTTGCATTTTTATTAGTCATGCTTTTTCCATTTGTGGGGGTTAAAGAATCTATCCAATGTCAATTGCTTCTCTCTTCTTCAGGATTTTTCGGAAGTAATTAATACCATTGTAATTGTAGAGATACCCAAGTCTATTAACCTCATTCTGGTTTGGATGCCATTTGGATGACTGTTGTTCTGATATCCTCCCACTTCTTCAAAAGATCTTTAACTGCTTGAGACTTCTTGATATATCTTTCATAGCTAAGATTGTGCCTACTGTAGACCTGTTCAAGCCATATTGCCTAGCAATAATCAGACATTTCCTGTCCTCTCTCTACCTTGGCTATTATCTCTTGCTTGATTTCTACGGTGAACACAGTACTTGACACTCCACTCTTATTAGGCTCCATAATATTATCAGTTTCTTTTTTGAATAAAAAGTTCAAAAAAACACTTACAAAAATTCAGAGAACAGAAATCAATTAGCGCACAAAAACATTATTTAAATGCGAGACCTGCTTTTTTGTCCTCGATGAAATTTGAAATTTGGTATTAAAACATTAACAAATATCTGATGGGACAGTTAAACTCAAGCCTTTCATAAATAAAAACCTAAGCAAAACTTAATGGGTGCCTGCCCAACAGTCTTGCGAAGACTATAAAAAATGATTTGTCAGAAAGGTAAACAAAAAGCTGGAATTACAAGAAAGAGTTTCAAAATTCAGAGGAATACTATTCAATCGGTATCAGGTTGAGCTTCAATGTCAACATCTTCAGAGCTCCAAAAGGTTTCGAATTGTCACCTGGAGACAAGGGATAATCACTATTTTACGTTGCTTCTTTTTCTGTTTGTTCTGTGAAGTGTTTGTTGTCTGAACATAAAAATCTTTCACAAAAGTGTTAGTTATCCAATTTGTTCACAGTCCGAACTGTTCATTAACCAATCACCCACTGTACAGTAAAACCTCTCTATGTTGGACATCTTTGGTTCCATAAGAATGTGTCCAGTTTAGACAGATGTCCAAGATCTAAAGTGAATGAATAGCTTTTGTCCTGAAAGCATGAAAATTAATCTAGATTTGCAAGAATAGTGTGCATATTCAAAGATATATCAAGTAAGTGTTGAGTGAACAACATTATAAACTTATCTATTTTTCTTCAGGCACTGTACAGTATTAATATTTTAAACACAAACACAATAATTTAATCTTGCTTCAACTTTAATGTGCTTTTAAATCATTATACTGTACTTTTGAGAATGATTGATTTAATGGAATTTGGCAATGCAACACATGGGCAATCTGCCAAGGAAGATGCCTCCCAGAAATACCTTTTATGAGAAGATGATCCTTTACTTTGATGCTAGACATGTGAAGAAAACCTGGGAAACTCCAAACTCTAGCCAATTGATAAAGAGCAAACCTGTGACCAGTTAGTTCAATGTTCAGTGATTTTATCCAAATGTCCACTGTTGAGCAATAGTCAGTCTACATCCATGATTCTCAATCTGTGGTCGGAACACAGATGCTCTGTGAAGCCATTTCAAGTGTTCCATGAAAAAATCAAATATACAATTAAAAACTGTTGCAAAAAAAAAATTGATACAATGTAAAAAATAATTTTTGTATGGGAATGTAATCAGCAAATGCCAATGACATCATAGATCTATACTAGACCAAGTGTGCTGTTGATTTCAAAGAGGTTTGCCATCCCTGCTTTACAGCTGATGTATTGTAAGTGTTCCGCAGAAAAAAATGTCAATGTTTAGTGTTCCTCAACTTCAAAAAGAATGAGAACCATGGAGTCTACATAACTAGAGACTCACAAAATATCTTACATACTTTTCCAGCAAATTACTCTTTAATCAAAGTAACATTTTTGGCTTTATTAATAAGCCTTCATCAGGTTTTTTGAAACATGATTCAATTTGGAAGAATATTTAAAATTCCATTAATTTTAGAACAATTTATATATATATAAAAATATATAAAATAAAATTAGAAATCTTATTTAAATTATCTTTTATATAATTAAAATCTTTAANGCTATTTAAAGGTTGTTGGGAGTTTATTCATTTTAGAACAATTTTACATTTAAAAAAAAATATAAATAAGGTTATTGATTAAGTTAGAAATAAAATAAAGTATAAATTTAAAAAATAATAATAACATACTAAAAATGTACAATTAAGAATAAAAGTAAATAAAATGAAATCATTTGAAGTGTTATGACTACATCATGTTTTGCACTGTGTTACTATTTTTGTCACCCTTCATTTCTAAGAGAGTTATCAAATAGCGATCTCCATACACAGGATAGTGATTCACAGACTCTGTTGCTAATGCTATGTTCTGTTAATGTAGATTTAAATATGTCCAATATTTCCACTATTCTTCGTTTGCATTCATCATATACTCGTTTTATTAGTTGGGTCCTGCTGAAATCCACTGACACCCCAGGTTTGGCAGATTTCATCAGGGACTAACTTATAAAACGAGTATATGACAAATGTAAACTAAGAATAGTGGAAATATTGGGCATATTTAAATCTTCATTAACAGCAGAGACTGTGAATCACTATCCTATGTGTGAAGAGTGCTATTTGATAACCCCCTTAGAAACAAAGGGCAGCAAAAATAGTAACACAGTGCAAAACGTGATGTCATCATAGCACTTCAAATGATTTTGTTTTATTTACTTTTATTCTTAAATGTACATTTTTTAGTATGTTATTATCATTTTTTAAATTTATATTTTATTTTATTTCTAACTTAATCAATAACCTTATTTATATTTTTTTTTAAATGTAAAATTGTTCTAAAATGAATAAACTCCCAACAACCTTTAAATAGCCAGTAAAATATTTAAAAGTACTACAAACGTTTTTGACTGTTATTTCCGGTCTTCTTCAGGATAAAAGTTAAAGGTTCAGACTTTTAACCTGAAGAAGACCGGAAATAATGGTTGAAAACGTTTGTAGTACTTTTAAATATTTTACTGGTTATTTAAAGACTGTTGGGAGTTTATTATATATTTTACCAGTACTTTTAACAAGTGTTGTTAACTTGTTCTAAAATTAACAGAATTTTAAATATTCTTCCAAATTGAATCATGTTTCAAAAAACCTGATGAAGACTTATTATTAATTAAATTAATAAAGCCAAAAATGTTAGTTTGATTAAAGAGTAATTTGCTGGAAAAGTACATAAGATATTTTGTGTGTTGCTAGTAACTGTCTAGTTCCAGCTTATGCCAATATTGGTCAGTCTACATGAAGGTCAGATGGCTTATCTGTCTTAGCATTCCATGATGAGAAAATGGTTGAAAAACCATTTTCTCATCATGGACTGGTAAAATTATGGATAATTTTACATAAACTAAATAATTATATGTAACTATGAATTATGTTTGTTTACTAAGCTTAAATATGCTTATCTAGATTCCTATTTACATATTACCAGTAATCAACTATGCTAGGATCAGTAGGGTGAAATATTTTCTGCAGACCGGTGAAATTTTTTCACAGATTGGCACTGATCTGTAGACTGGCATTTGAAAAACACTATTCTAGAGAACATGAAATCAAATCCAGATAAGTCAACGAACTCAAGGACTTTCTGGAAAGCTGTCTGTTCTAGTTATGTCAGACCTTATGTTTCTCACCACTCAGCTATCACATTATGGGCCTGGCTGAACCCACCATCGATTTGAATAAAGACCCTGTTAGTGCCATAAGGCAGAGAAAAATTTTTTATTAATTTTTACATACAGTTTGCACTGAATTTCTGATGCAGATTCAAAAATATGTTGAAACATGAATCAGATTCACAACAAAGCCAACTAGTGAAAAATAAAAACAGTTTATTTTTCCCTCCTAAGCTAAAAAAAATTAGCCAAATTTGTGCAACTGTCAGAATAATTTTTGGGTACCAAGCTGAATATTGAAATAGCCTAATATATAAGCCCTGGTCATTAAGAAGAAATAATGCCTGAGACCATTGATGATCAGAATGTGGAAAATCTCCCCAAATGCCATAAAAAGGGTGTTTGTTGTAAGTTTTCCTTAATTGATAAGATCTTAAAACAGGACACCTGTTTAGAATGACTCAACAGTTAATAATTAGAGAGACAAATTTCAAGGCAGGGAAGTGTTCGAGATACAGAGTATCATATATGTGTAAAACTATAGGGATTTATGCAATTCTATGTTAAAGTGTTCAAGATATGGAAGTGTCCAGGACTCAAATGTGTCCAATTTGACAAATTTTACTGCAAAAGAACACTAATATAAGAAAAAGCAGTAATAATAAAACAATTAAAATTACAGTACAGTAAAATAGTTGATAATAAAAAATCTTTGCCAACTATGCAACTGTGTTCAAACACTAAGACTGGAATAAAGTGTGAGACTACAGGGACCATTACTTAAGTGATTAGCAACGTGCACCTTATCAGAACTTGAGGTCCACTTACTGCATCGAAGGATGGCCTTTTTTAATGAGTGATAAAAATGTGGAGACAAGATGATCGTAAAATCACCGTCTCCAGTCACAATTCCCAACACCAATAGGGTTGGATTCTGCACCCTATCACACACAAACTTCCATATCTAGATATATGTGGCATCCAAGTGACAACATCCATATAAATTATAGGAGGATCTATTTCTATATATAAGTAGAGACTAGTTAACTAGACCATTATAAAAACAACAAAAATTTTAATAACAAAAAAGAAAATTGATTACAAATAAAATAACTAAATATTCTATCTAGTTTAGAGAGCGTTAAAATATAATAATAATGTGAGGACCCAGAAATAGCCCCCCGTGAAGAATAAATCTCAAGAGAATTAAATTATATAAGTGTCAAATCAGCGACACCAGACTTTGACGTTGACGCTCATAAAGAGTAGAGGGAAAAACAAAATTTTAGATATAGAAAAAGAAAATTTAAAAGTTAAGATGCACTTTGGAAAGCAAAACGAAACTAAAAAAAATATCAAAATGGGCATGGGTGTCATAGTCAACGATTAAACGTGATCAGAGTCTAAAAGATGGTGTCGGATAAACCATCTCCAGCCGACCTTTCCCGCGAACTATCCAAAGCTCCATTTACACCTGGAGACAGGTGGAAGACCAATTAGAAAGCAATGAGGTAAAGTTTGTCCAATTAGCAACAAGTTGATCTCGAAAAACTTATAAAAACACTGATTTCAAGGACAAAAAAAGAGGCTTCCACTAGACTACCTGTTGTGTTCATTTGCCTTCAGCTGTCGTGCTTCCTTTCATCTTTTGTGTGTTGTCACTTCAGATTGCAAACTTTCCCCTACAACACAGGACCAGATCGAATCTGAAAACAACCCAAAGTTATGAACTTAAGGACCTTTGCTAAAAAAAATATGTAAGTATTTTCGACCAGAATAAATGGTTTCTCTGTGAAACACTTGTCTTTTGCTGCCTCTTAAAACTGCCACCCATGTACATATAAACCTTAGACCATCCCGACGGTAGGGAACAAAATCTCCCCCAATCGGCATTCTTACAGTAATACCAAATATGGGAGAAGAGAGAGAGTTTACAAACATTATTACCTCTGTAATAACTTGACTTTTCCCAATTTTATTTGGTGAGAGGAAGTTCCAATCCCAGCGTGTATAGCACACAAATTCAAAATAAAAGGATACCTTATGATGTGCGATGATATGTGTGGATTTTGGCACGTATCCCTCTTTTATACTCTTTTTCTCATCCAATGGATGTTAAGAATTAAGATCATCATCCGACAGAGTATCATGAGGAATCTTTTGGTTTAGTCAGCCCTTTAGTCATGGGAGATAAAGATTTCTCTCAGGAACTGACTGTCATCACAGGATACATTTGTTCTTTATTCTCTTTGATTTTTAGCTTTGATAAAAATTTATTGAAAAATTATATTTAATTTTTAAATGATTTTCTATTAATTTCTAGAATATTTTATCTCAAAATATTCAGAATCTCACAAAAGTATGTCATAAAAAAACACAAATCTATGAACCTTAAAAATGAAATTCCAGTATAATTTAATTCAGATAAAATATAAATGTGCTTCAAGTTGTTTAATATACTTATAAATTAAAATGCTCACTTAATTTTAAAAGTGTTTTACTCATATTAAGAGAAATTTTAAAAATACAGGTATCCCTTGATTAACACAATTAACTAATTCTTCAATGCTATCATGTATATCAAAATCATGTCAATCAATACATTGGTACTTCAGTACTTGACTGAACAATCACCAACTGCTAGAACAAATTTTTGGTTAGTAACAAATATTTTTATTTTAATTTTGTCATATGCAAAAAAGTTTTCTATGATAAAAATGAGTAACTAATTTAAAAATAAAATGAAATCTTAGAGCTGCCTACCTTTGTCAGACAAAATTATACTAAATCCAGTTTACTTAATGCAATCAAAATGCAATTATCATATCGATAATACACAAATATTTTTTGAAAATTTACGAATTATATTCATTGATTTTTAACAATTTCTTGTAAAATTTCTCTTCAGAGCTTTCGGGTGCCCTGTACACTTTGTATCCTTTAGTTCAAAATTTCCTGAACAAAACTTTCAAAACAACATTTGAATGGCTGACATTTAGGAATATCTTCTCCATAAACACTATAAGTATTTTTTACTCTTTGTATAGCATTATATCCTTTATTAAACTTAAAAAGCATATATAATATATCCAATATGCATTTAATCTGCAGACATTTCAGTTTGATTTTACACAAACAAAATGCAACCTAAAGTTTTAAAATAAGCTTCTAAACAAAGCATATAATATCACATTAGCAGTAACGTGTTAAATTTCACAACTGTCATAATTAAACTATGTATCTAATCAGAAATTTCTCTCAGCATGAAAACAGCAAATTCACCAACACCTTATTTACTGATAAAAACATATTTATGTTAAAACAGCTGTTAAAGCTCTATTAATTAAAACTTCTGTATAAAGCGACTGTTGCAAGTAATTTTGAGCATTAATCAAATCCCATGTTAAGCAAGGGATACATATATATCAATTTATCATTTGTTCAAATAAACCATTTATACGGACTTTCTAATAAGTTTCATTGAGATAATAATTTAGTACAATATACATACATTATACTAAAATTATTATATATAGTTTAGTATGGTATATGTGTATATTAGAAAGTTTGTATGCATATATATTATGAGCCACTCATTTGTCAGATCAGTTAATTCCATAAAATAATATATGTTCTTTTTTTTAAAAAATTCTTTTTAAAATTTAAGTAAAACATTCTATAATGTATTATTATAGGTTTAGCTTTTATCTAATGGTACATAAAACAATAATGATTATTTTGAAGATATACTATTTTTACATTTTTTGTGTAACTAAAGGAGTTAATCAATTTGGCCAATGAATAGCTCAAATATAGAATTTTAACTGAAATAACAAATTTACTTACATTCCATCAGGAGTTTGGTTTGCATGATGAATTACATTATTAATTTTTAAACCATCATTAGGTCTCGAAGCCATAATTTAAAAGTTTGTGTGTAGAAGAATATTCACAAAAGAATAAAAAATTACAAGGTATTTCTGATACATTTTAATAATTCTCAGTTCTTCCATTGTGTTACTAAAATAAAAAGATATAAGTTTTAAACAATAATAATTTACATCATAATATAATAAAAACTGTTAATTTTTAATATTAAAATCAAGTTTCACTTAATATTTAAGTAAAGTAATAAGCTTTCTATTATAATAGATGTCAGGAAAAATGTGCACAAAATATTTCAGGCTCTAACAGCCAATAATTTTTAATTAAGCTATACATATTATAACTTTAAAGCATGTAGGATACAGAATATTCTAGAATCTTTTTCTGCATTTGATTTGCTACTTCTTTCAAAATGGAAAGAAAAGATGATGCTTACGTTTACACAATGTTTACACATTAAATAAAACATTAGGAAAAAATTTACTGTAAGCCATTTTGCAAATTAAAACATTTCAAAACAGACTATATATTACATTGAACATTTTGAGAGTGGATTATTACTACAGAGAATAAAAGAATCCAGTATAAAAATGAAAATTCTAATGAAATCCAAGTTAGAAGGCTTGAAGAGGGTATTTAAAAACAATGACAAGACTTCAATATAATCTATAGTCCTGAAAGTGAAAATTTCATGTATTTGGCTCCATAAGACTTTGAAAACAAAAAAACATTAAATATCAAAGAAAATAGGTAATTCCAAACAGAATGGGCATGCAAAAATGAAGTGCTAAAGATTATTGTGAAAGTTTTCTAAAAAGTTCTTTGTTTTGAATGATGAATCTTACTTTATCCTCTTGCACTTGACAATCAATGATAATAGTTTCTTACCAGTGATATCTCCTCTATGCCTGTCAAAAAATATATATATAGTTTTTCAAGAAAAATAAATTTGAGGGCAAAGTTTTGCTTTGGATAGCAGTGAGACCAAAAGGATTGAGTCAAGTTCTAATCAGAAAATCAAGTTTTGCTATCAATGCCCTACAATATTTAAATGAAAGCATACAATATTGCTCAATTCCTTACATTCAAAAGAACTATTCTCAAGCAAATATGTCATCTGACCAAATCAAGAGCAAGTTCCCACTATGTCAAAACTATACTGGATTACCTGCAACAAAAGACCATCTTCATAAAAAAAAAAAAAGACAACCCTGAAAACATGCCAGCCATTAGACCAATCAAGGAGTTTCAGACAATTCTCAAGGCAGCCATTTATGAAAAACTGTGGAAGGCAAAAACACAGATCACCTGATTGATTAAGTACTGTCTGAAAAATGTAAACCAGTCTTGTACAGAAACTTGTACTTCACACCTGAAGAGAATTGATCACGTTCAATGATAGACACTTGTAGAATTATGAAAGTAAAAGATAACAAACCTTTTCATCACCTTTCATATGTTTATTTAATTCATAGTTTTCTTTTTCCAAGCTAAAAACTATGTTACACAAACTTGTGTAAATTTTATCAAGGCAGGTTATTAGGTTATTTCAGTAACCTAATAATCAAAAAACCCTTTTAGTCATACTAATTGAACTCAATAGAAACTCTTTCAGAACAAAGTTTAAGTTTAACTTACTAAACTAAACTCCTTGTATAGACACTGTTAAAAATAATCATAAAATGCTTCTAAAAAAGAACCACAACTGGAGAATTAAGTCAATTAAAAAAACACACCTTAACAAATTCCAGAAAAATTTTAATACAGTAGAGCGTTGATTATCTGAAAGTCAATTATCTGAAACGTCAATTATCCAAAAGAATTCCAGTCGGCAAATTTAAATTTTCGCCAGTGCTGTGGCGCTGCAATCTTTGGCTATGTCTTGGGCTACTCAAATATTTTACGTTTTTGATACTAAATTAACTTCTAAAGTATAATTTTTTATTGTTTTTATATTTTTCAATATATTTATTTTGTTTGTACAAAATAAAGAAATAATTTTTAACAATACAACAGTCACGATTATTATTTTAAAAAGTTTATGTTAGGCTTAACATCAACGAAAATTCAACGCAAAGTGACACGCAACAGAGAAAAATTTCAACATGGGATAGGTTAATATATTTTTTTGTACATAATCAGTTATCCGAAATATCGATTTTCCAAACAACCCCAGTTCCCAATTGATTCGGATAATCGATGCTCTACTGTAATCAATTTTTTTTTATCCCTTTGATGAATCTGCTTCAGTTAATTACAAGATATACAGTATAAAAAATGAATGCATTCAAATATTTGGGTGATTCAAAAATTAACACCATAATATAAAATAACATATAATGGTTACATGTTCAATAACAAATTTTAAAATCATAGAATGCAAAAATCATGAATTATTTACAAATTGGGCAAACTTAAAATAAAATATAAACAAAAATAAACTAATTCTGCAACCATCAGGAATTGGAGTTCTCATGGTTATATGGATGTTTCCATACTTACGAACTGATTAGGTTCCCAAGATTTTGTTGTAAGTCAAAATGTTCATAAGTCAAAAAACTATCTTAAAAAGTACATTTGTACACAGAATAACCACTTATTGTTAGCATTTGATATTTTAATGTAATTAATAAAATTCATTACACTCATTTACCCAATTCCTGCTGCTTAGTAGTGAGTATTTCAAACACAATTTTTTTTTCATCTAATACACTTAGTTTTATAATGCCCACTTCAGTTTCCTTGGTAATAGAGTGAAACTTCTTGCATTTATCTCCACTGCTAAATTTACTACTGTGTTTTGATGCATAATCAAAAAAGTTTATAAAAATTGCAAACAATTGTGAAAAATGCAATTACAGTAGAACCCCTCTAATCCGTCACCTTTAGGACTGGGGTTATGGTCGGAACGCAAAAAAGGTCGGATTATCAGAAAAAAGTAAAATAAACAATCTTACCTTTGTCCAGTCTTTATAGCACTGTTAATTTTTCATTTAATGAAAGAGTAACGTGTTTACATTTCACTCCTGACATGTTGAAAACAGACACAAAACTGTACACATACTGTACACACAATGTAAACATATACTGTAACGAACACAAGAACGCCACCGACGGTGAGCCACTGACGAGTCAGGACAAGTTTCTCGACTCCGACCACAGTCGGATTAACCGGAGTGACGGACTAGCCGAGGGCGGACTAGAGGGGTTCTACTGTACTCCAATGTTACTAAATTCAACACCACCTCACAAACAGCAACGAAACCTCAGAATTCACCAAAAACAAAAAATGATGATATGCAATAGAAATAAGCCCACATTAATTATTTATTAAAAATTTATTGTTACTGGCCAAAGACTGACTTCAGCACCACTCCATGAATGTCAAGAGAACTTCAGAATTTGTACAAAATTTAAATTTTAGACAGTCAAATTGTTCATAAGTTGAACATTTGTAAGTAGGGGAGCTCCTGTAATTCATCTAAAGATTTCCTTACAATTGATAAGGAGTCCCCATCACAGAAATTAACATAATCCTGTACCCAAATGTTTTAAATTTCTATAAGTCAGTTACTGGTTTACTGGTTATGTGATCTTGAAGTCTTCCCATAGTACCACTACATAAATGCATAACTAAAATCATAGTTGTGAATAATAAATAAATAACTACAGAAATAAAATAAACAATAAAAAGTAAAACTAGATGAAGAAATGTCACTTAATAAAAATAATTTTCATAAAAAGACCACCATACAATAGCTAAGTTGTTGACGTCTCTATGGTTGATGCAACCAGTTCTTTTGTGCACTTTAAAGATCTCCAATCTTTCAAGATATCTCATAGTATTTATATTCGATGTTGGTTTGATGATCAATGCCTGCTCCCATTGTACCTGAACATTCTGAAGTTGTGCGTAAGCTGCCAGCACTGTGCTATCAACATTTTTATCAATTGTATACTTATGTTCTTTGAGTCATTGTTGTAAGTTGTGCATAGTGGCACCCACATATACAAGTTTTGATTCAAAACGTTGGTCGATTAATGAAATGGAGTAAATCCCCACGGCCAAATTAAGGTTATATGGTTTTTTATCGTTCCTTAAAATTCTGAATATCATTGAGTTGCATCAATATACAACATGGAGATTATTAGCTCTGGCCGTTTTCTTATGTATTCCTCTTAAAAATGAGAAATAATTCACAACCACTCTTCGTTACTAAACCCCCAATGCATTCTGACATTTTGTTGTTTGAAATGTTGTGATCAACCTCCAAATCATTTCTATTAGATAACCCTGTTGTTCTGCAATCTTTAAGACATAATCCAGCTCTGTTATGGTGTCACTTATGCTGGTACAATGTGTATATACCCTTCTTATCAAGGATCTGAAGGCTGCCAATCTGATGTGGAGAGGATCCACAAAGTTATGTAGAATTAAAATGGGTTGATAACAAGGTTTCCTGTATACCTTGGTCCAAATTTCTTCATATTTGCAAGAGATGAAAATGTCCAAAAAGTTTATAGATGTTTCACTCTCCTGGTCTAATTGTAGGAATAATCCATAGGGGTTGTCATTGATCTCATTTAAAAATTGCTGTAGGTTTGGTTTCCTCTGCCACAAGATGAAAATAACAACAACATATCTAGTGTATAAGATAATAAGGTGTTGGAATTTGGGTAGAATTTTGTTTTCTAACTGTCACACCACCAGCTCACAAAGTATTGCAGAGGTGGGACTGCCCATTGGTACTTTTCTTCCTTGTAAGTCTACTTTGTTCTCAAATTCAAAGAATGATGTAAAAGATACAAGATGTGCCAGCTCTAATATATGATTATGATGTTTCTGTGCATCATCGATGTTGGTAAACAGGAAGTCCCTTATAGCACAAAAACAAAGAAGTATTTTTATAGACGGATACATCGATTTGAGGTCTAAGACTATCATGTATTCCTTGTCCACCAGAGAAATGGTATTGAAATAGTCTATCACTTGCAGCGAGTTGTTAACTAAAATTGGATGGTAAGTAGCCTTAGCATGATAGAATTTGACCAGCTGTTTTTCAATAAAAAATGTCAGAGAATTACATTTCTCGATCACTGGAGAGATGGTGATAAAAAGATTGAAAATGCTTGAG